ATGCAGTGACGAAAAAAAAAAGAGAAAGAAAAAAATAAAGGATTGTGTAACATATCCTTGGTCTTAGAAATTAGAATTTTGCTATTTTTCAACTTAGTAAATAAGCTTTATAGATTAACCCTTCCATTTTCAACAAGGCTCTTCAGTAACACACCTTGCACCTATCAAGCTCAGCTCTTGCGCGTTATTATCTTTCTCCAAGGGCTTTAAAGAATGACTAAGGCCCGTACTTTTAAAACTTTTCGCCAGGGCTGGCGAAAGGTTTCGCCGGGCGATCCGGAATTTCGTACTATTAAAATCATGCCTGGCGAACGTTCGCCAGGGCTGGCGAAAGATCATATTGGAACAGCCTGGCGAAGCAAAGGCGCTAGAGCTGTTTGAATACCATTTTCTTGCTTTCATATTATATATTAGTAACATATTCGTGTATGATATGATGTAGGAATCATATTGAAATTCTAAAATATCTTAAAATCATAATTTATTATGAAATAACGTATATACGTATTTTTTTCAAGACCTTCGATGTTCCAGTCGAGAGCTCAAGACATCAGCTGTATTCTTCCCCCTACCCCTACCCCCACCCCCGAGATGACTTATTTAGATTTAGGTTGTTATTTTGGTTGTAGGGATAATTTTCTTTTCACAAATGTTACCAAAAGTGTTTTGATGTTGGCATGTTTACTTTTGGCTATAGAAACAGCTGTAGTGCTCCACCGCCCTATAATGAGGCGTGTCTAATGATACTCTTGTAGGCCTACAGTTCAATATCTTATATCAGTTAGGAATAGTAAAATAGTAATTTTTAAACTCTTTTGTTAAAGTATAGAGTTATTTTTTGTATAAAAGTATGAACTTGATATAGTATAGTATAAAGTACTTTTAAAACCTTTCGCCAATGCTGGCGTTCGCCTGGCGAAGCTTCGCTGGCGAACATCTGAGTGAGGGAGGCCTTACTTTTAAACTAAGGCAGGTGTTCGCCAGGCCTGGCGAACGAAAGGATCGCCAGGCGCTAACATCTTGGATTCCTGCTAAATCTAGCGCTTCGGCGAATGAAAAAAACGCGAGAAAAAGCAAAAGGTTTTAAAAGTACGGGCCATAAAGTTAACCTTGTTATAGTATAAAGTGTAGTATAGCATAAAGTATAAAGTTAATTTTGTTATAGTATAAAGTTATTTTCAACTTCTTTGTTATAGCATAAAGTTAAATTTTAACTCCTTTGTTATAGTATAAAGTGAGACTATTGCGGAAACAACATTTTCGTCTTCTCTCGAGGTTAACAATTAAGTTTAGGTTATGTTAAGTGCACTGCAGATGTAAACAAATTTGCGCTAGATTTAGGGGGAATGCAAGATGTTAGCGCCTGGCGATCCCTTCGCCCGCCCTGGCGAACGTTGGGTTTAAAAGTAAGGCCTCCCTCACTCAGAGGGAGCACTGCACTGGCGAAGGTTTTAAAAGTACGGGCCTAAGAATTTCCAAAGATTCCCTTAATTTTCCACATTATTTTCAAGGCAGGGCGTCCTGACACTAAGCCTACCGTAGATTCCGAATGCAAAGTAGATGTAATAACAATATTAGTAACAGAAGTAATAAAAATGATAAACAGGCATAAAGAGGGTGAAATAATGACATTAAGAATGGTATTTAGTCCACGATTGACTCGGGCAAGAAAGTGCTTTTCATTCGTATAGTAATCTAGTCCCTCTGTAATTGATGGCAAAATAAACGTAGTAAGGAAAACTGTTTGTTATATATCCTAATTTCCGTTTACAACTGTGGATTGCATGTGGGTTAGAAAAACACGAGAAAACATGATAGCATGGCATCCCTGTTCCACGTGGCTAAAGTAAATTATTAAAACCCGCGTGCGTGATACTTTAATCTGGGTTCACCAGATCCTACCCACCTGCAAAGACTGAATAGTAGATTATCTCCGTTTTTTAGTCACATTGCATACGAATGCGTTTGCAGCATTGCTTGACACGTCGATGTAATTTTCCCCCCCCCACCTCCCTTTTTTTGTATTTCTCCCCCCCCACCTCCCTTTTTTGTATTTTCTCCCCCCCCCTCTCTTCTCAAACTGAAAAAGATACAGGATTCGGCCTGGTTTAATTCGGCTTCTACCTCAGGTATATCCAACGGGGTTATTTTCAAGACGCAATAATTTCACTTCCTTTTGGGATCCAGGAGGCGACTTGGTGACATCTGTTGAGGAGAGTTGGCACTAAAGATGGGCCTGCAGTTGAGGGGTCCTTGTGTTCTTTGTCCATGAAAGAGAACAGTGAAATATGAAATGGGACAATTTGATCCCAGGAGCCGGATTCTTCTTACACAATTCCTTGTTTGGATGTGAAGGATGTTTTCTGGTTTATTTTTTTATATCAATTTAAAATGTTCGAATCATTACCTCTTCTCTCTCGTTTTCGTTATTCTCTCTCTTCGCTTCTCCTTCTCGTCCTCTCCTTCTCTCTCTCTCTCTCTCTCTCTCTCTCATCTCTCCTCTCTCGTCTCTCTTCTCTCTCTCTCTACTCTCTCTCTCTCCTCTCTCTTCCTCTCTCTCTCTCTCTCCTCGCTAATCTCTGTATTCTCACTTTCTACTTCTATCTCTCTCTCTCTCTCTACACACAACACAATTATGTACATATATATTATCACACATCACAATTCATACCACACACTCACATCAGTACACACAACATCACAACACAACACACGACTTATTACATACTACACTCTCACACATCACAATATAAATATTATATAAACATAAACACACACACTAACACACACACTCACACACACATATCATTACTGTAAATCTTTCTCTATTTATTATTTATGCTTAACATGGACACACTAACACACACACACACACACACATAACACACACACATACACACGCACTTCACAATACATCTAAATATACTCGATATCATACTTCCGGGACTGCGAAAGCCAAGTTACCTCTAGTAAGTTAACTTCATTACAACTCCACGACCCAGGCTTCAATTTATATGACTGCTACCTAACACCTGCTCCACGTGATGAGAAAAAAGAAAAGCCTAGAAAATGTAGCTAAAATGATTTAGATGATACAAATGCTTACATTAACTCATTGCCACATCCAGCAATGCTATCTTAAAAAGTTATTCTTGATGACCACATGCCCATAATCTTGTGTAGTTACAGTTAATGTATCTAAAAGTATTTTGACTGAACCACATGCCACATCAACTCTTGTGTTAGCAAGTAATGTATCTAAAACGTATTATTTATTTATTGATGATCCACAAGACCCACATAACTCTCTGTGTAAACGCACGCAGTGTATCTAAGTTTTATTATTTGATTATACTATAGACCACAATGCCACATGAACTCTTTGTGGTTGCAGCATATACCTTTATTTGTACTGTTACGTACCCGTCCCTTTATAATAAACAGTGGAAGTGGTGGCAGCAGCGGTTCGTACTTTGGCAATTCAGGGAAGGAAACAAGTTCAACAATTGCAAGTTGCTTGAGGACACTGAAGTGGAAATCCAAGCATTATCATATTACGCTTGTGCTGTTTGGCTTTATTTATATGTATGGCGCAGAGGCCGTGGCATTAGTAGCTGTGTAACCATGGTAAATAATTTACAAACTTGAAATAATGATTAGGGTGTTAATAGTTTATCTTTTTTTCACGAAAGATATCATATTGATGAAAGCCATTCTAATCAAGCGCGATTTATTTTATGATTTCATGATTATCAGGCATATAATATACAGCTGCTTCATACCTTCCGCGTTTCACTAAAGGTTCATTTCATTCTACATTTACTTTGCCATAATATATATATATATATAATATATTATAATATATATATATATATATATATATATATATATATTATATATATATATATATACATATATGCTAAAAATTCGTGAAACTGCTCTTGATAGCCCCTTTTATCCATCCTCAATACTTAAGAAGGGAAAACATCAGCTGTTGTAAGAGTCCACTCTCTCTCACCGATCGGATCTACTTCCTGCTGATGTATACAGCCACTATCCGAAAAATCAAATAGTACTGACCCTTATACATTATTCCTAGGTTATGCGCGTAACAAGTTTAGCTTTCACAAAGGGAAGGGATAAAACAAAGGTTTTTCATCATTCGATAGTTGGCTTTGGTTGGTTCCAACACTTCGTCGGGAAACTATAACATAACCACACAACAATGGGGTTTAACTAGTAATATGGCCGTTACGACGAACAGAAGCACGGCCAAAGTCAATGCTAAACTAAAGAGATAATGATAATGATAATAATGATAATAATAATAAGAGATAATCTGAGGTAATGCGAACACGGAATAAAGAGCTGGATTAAAGTCATTGAAATAGTCATAGATACTTATTGGCTATGTAAGTCTAGCAAAATTCTTGCAAATACATCTTGTGAAACAGACAAGTAGATGCTTTATAGAGAAAACTAAAAAAAATAGATGAAAACCCTTGTTTCTATTCTGAATTACAGAAAGCCTCTTTAAGAGTTAAAGCCAGCACTTATGATAGAGTCACACACATCGTTGTTGCTAATAAATATCCATGTATCTATCTATCTATCCATCTATCTATCTTTATGTGTGTGTATAGATAAATTATGTACAAATGCATATATAATATATACATACATATTATATACCGTACAGTATATGTATCCATCTATTAATCTATCTGTTTATATATCTATCTATATATACATAATACATATATATGTATACTATACACACACACACACAACACGCATACACACACACACACACACACACACAACACACAACACAACACACACACACACACACACACACACACACACACACACACACACACAAACACACACACACACACACATATAATAATATGTGTGGTGTGTAGTGTGTGTGTGTGTGTGTGTGTGTGTGTGTGTGTGTGTGTGTGTGTGTGTGTGTGAAATTGATAAACAGCTCAGTA